TGGAGACGATGACAAGTGGGATTTTTATTCATATACCATCCAGATCCATTCAACAGCTTTAGATAGAGGGTTTAAATAGGGTCACAATTTCACAAAAAAATCGGTGCACCATGAACATTTACTATACAAACTGACAACATTTTAGTGGACATCCACCCAGCAAGGGAAAACGGGCAGCCTTAACCACAAGTATGTGATAAATCAATACATTTACAAAATACTAAACCACAAACTATCTGCGGCCACGCTGAATACTTGCAAGACTCTGCCAAATCCATAAACACTATAATTACAGCCTTTTATAGAAAAGTTAAAGTACATTTAGGTCAAAGTTCTGAGGGAGCCAGTTGGGGAGACGTTGGCGTATAAGCCAGCTGAGAGATGCAGAAAACACTTGCCTTGCAAGATTTCTAAGCAGGACGCAATTATCAACAAGCGCAAACTATAATTTCAAACAAATCATGTCTGGAACTGCAAAACCAAGCTTGTCTCTAATTGACTGATTCATCTGTAAATCACAAGTACATCATTTCTGAACAAGGGCTGACAGCACTAATAGATTTATATATCTTGCCTTTACAGACTGTAACTTAATAACATGCAAAAAGAACAGCAGAAATGATGGCGGGCTCCATTATTCGCAGACGGTGGACATACACATCAATGAACTTACACCGAAAGCTATGCCCATGTACTAAATAAATGGCAAAGCTCAGATGGAGGGAGACGCTCTGACTAAACAGTCTTTTGTTTGGAGACTGGTGGCTGGTACTGAGAGAGTACCGTGTGCACAGCACATTCCAGAGCCTCGGTCCAGAAAACAGCACATTTGTAAATGAGATCAGTAAAAAAAAAAAAAAAAAAGAGCGCATGGGATATTTTTAGACCATTTCAGCACTAAAAGACCATTCAGATTTCCTCTTTTGGTCACAGAGATAAAAGGAGAACACTGTGATGACAGTATTGTGTTCAATTTTTTTTTTAAATGTACATAAACGCCGCCCCCGGGAATACGATTTATAGATTATCATGACAGAATATGTTAATCAATGACTAGAAGATAACTACACATAAGCTACCTAAATTCATCAATTAACCAATCAGAAATGTCCTGTTGCATTCTACATGTTGTCACTTCTTTTTGAATCTCTCCATCATTGTCTGACTCCGGTTTGAACATAAAAAGCTAAAAGTTTTTTGAAATTTTCAGTGCATGTGTGAGTGTCAGGTAAAAGGACATGAGCTGATGTAGCTCCGCCCTCTTCTTGAAAGGGAGCAGCAGCTCATTTGCATTTAAAGGGACAGACAAAAACGGTGCGTTTTTGCTCACCCTCAAAAAGTGACAATTTTAACATGCTATTAAAAATATCTGTGGGGTATTTTGAGGTAAAAGTTCACATACACACTCTGGGGACATCTAAGACTTATTTTACCTCTTGTGAAAAGGGCATTATACCACCCCTTTAATAACCTGACTCCGCCAGATGGATTTGCTCCGCATATCCATCTGGAAACCTTCCGTTGAAGTAGTTTTGGTAAGGGGCGAAAATACTGGTTAGCTGATAGGCCTATGTTGGTGATAGACGGGCCAAATCAACCAATCAGATCAACGAAGCATATGACGTACTAACAGAGCGTATCTTTTCCTCTGAGAAAAGCCTCCAGAGCAGTGTTTTGCTCTTCTTTCAGTGAAGAAATACTCTGTAATTCCGATAAAACTTGCTCGATAGCCACGCTGATGCTAGTTTCATCCGCTGAAGCCGACATGTTCTTTAGAATGAACTGACGCGCTTCTCGTTGCGTCACACCTCAACCCGCCTCAAAGCCAACGCTGATTGGACGTTCGTTTGGTGAACTGCTCCCAAATTTTCTTTAACGGAAAGTATCCAGACTGATCTGCGAGTGAAACCTTGAAAGCTCGCGAGATCAGGATGGTCTCACGAGGCTACCCCTTTAAACTGACTTTAAAAAATTTGTTGAATCTTACAGAACTTATAAAAAACAGTTGAAAATTGCTTAACTTATTTTGATGAGTTAAAGCGATGTAAAAACATGTTGTCATAACATATTAATCAAATAATGTTTTACAGTGTAGTCTATCTCTAGAAAAATCTTTAAATTTCAATAGTTTTTTCCATTCTTGAAAATTACAGTTCCAAAAATGTCCCAACACTTGCCTTTGGGACACTGTTTATGGCAGAATGTTCCTGGTGCATTACATAAGCTCAATTATGTTGTCTTTCGTTGCGCAATGACAGACACAACGTGACACTTACATGAGTTTTGTAATAGAAAATGCAACCAGAGTTGTTACCGTGTTCAGTCGTCATGCCTTAGATTCCACATACCTGTCACTGCAAGGCAACACACTACAGATCACGAGCATGAAAGAAACGTCAGAAGTGTGGGTGTGATCAGAGCGAAACTTTGAACCGGTCGAAACTGATAATCTATATATTATGCATTCAAATCTATACGTAACTCAGACAAGAAATACAACATATGTTTTGGAATACTGTGAATGTGATGGTAATATATTAGCACAAATACCAGCACTGTGTAGTAAGTATAAGCATGTTAGCTTTTTCAATCCTCTAAGGATGTTTCTTGAGAAACTATTAAAAAAAAATAGGATTATTGTCTTCAAAGTAGCCCAGTATTTGAGCCACTTACTCAGTAAGCCGGGCAGGAGAAATCCTGACTGGTGTAAAATTCAATTATCATAATGCTGGTAAGTATGCAAGTACCGAGAGTCTGTGAAAGGGAGATGGAAAGGAATACAGTGTCAAGAACCTGACCATAAATGTAGAAAATCTGCACCAACTCTAAATCACATGATGCTTCATGTTTACTTTGTGCATGAAAGAAACTATTTTAAACAAACTCCAGTAATCAGACAGTGTATTAAATTAACTAAATCTTTCTTTGGGGCCCAACTTCTCAAATGACCCTCGACTGTGTCGTAAAATCAACTATTTAAGCATTTTCATTTGCCATCTAGTTTTTTTTTAAGTGAGGTCCTCTGTTGAGACTGTGTGTATTTTGCTGTAGCCTACTTAAGGATCTGCTTTATATACTTCATCAAAACCCAATAGGCAGATATCACTGAACTTTAACCCCTCATATTACAAAAGTAGAATGTGACTGTTATTATATTTATTAACATTGTTTATTGAAACATACAATTTCAATAAAACAAGAGATTTCTATGCCAAAAATCCTAATAGAAAACATGAAACAAGGTCAAATTTTACATTGAGGATGTTTTAAAGCATTCAATTAAGTTGCATTTTTGTATACAGTTCTCATAAGATTAGGGGGAAAAGTCATGAAGAGTCATCCAAATTTTCTAAAGAGACATGATCAATTTATATGACAAATAGATTTAATTTAGGCTTTTATTCACATATTAACACAGATCAGCGAACGTAGAAGCTCAACCGAAACTGCTTGACGCAGGAGAATGAACCTCATTGGTTCTTGCAGAAGCTCAAACGTGCTGCGTAAGACGAGAATTAACCTCATTGGTTCATGCTGAAGCTCAAACGTGCTGCGTAAGACGAGAATTAACCTCATTGGTTCATGCTGAAGCTCAAACGTGCTGCGTAAGACGAGAATTAACCTCATTGGTTCATGCTGAAGCTCAAACGTGCTGCGTAAGACGAGAATTAACCTCATTGGTTCATGCTGAAGCTCAAACGTGGTGCGTAAGACGAGAATTAACCTCATTGGTTCATGCTGAAGCTCAAACGTGCTGCGTAAGACGAGAATTAACCTCATTGGTTCATGCTGAAGCTCAAACGTGCTGCGTAAGACGAGAATTAACCTCATTGGTTCATGCTGAAGCTCAAACGTGCTGCGTAAGACGAGAATTAACCTCATTGGTTCATGCTGAAGCTCAAACGTGCTGCGTAACACGAGAATGAACCTCATTGGTTCATGCTGAAGCTCAAACGTGCTGAGAATGAACCTCATTGGTTCTCACATGTCAAGCGAACATGCTTGAGCTTCCGTTTACCACAACTGATGTGTGAGTTGATGAATGTTTATGTAAATAAAAGCCTAAATTAAATTTGTTCATCGTTATTAAAGCGATTGTGTCTCTTCAGACAATTTGGACTAAACCGCTCAACACATATTAGTTTTACGATCTCTTTATGAACTTTTTCAATTGTCAAAGTGGTAGTTGCGTAGCTGTCTATGGAGGGACAGAAAGCTCTCAGATTTCACCACAAAGATCTTCAATTGTGTTCCGAAAATGAACGATGAAAGTCTTACGGGGTTGGAACGACATGAGGGTGAGTAATTAATGACAGAATTTCAATTTTTGGGTGAATAGCCCTTTAAATACCATTGAAAACAATCACACATCAAGGTCCAAGTTTCATTCACTTCCAGAGAAGTAGCATAATGTGCACTTCTTGCCATGCTAATTCATTCAAAGCACTCTCACCTTAGTGAATTAAATTTATATATATAAACAATAAACGACAATATAGATAATTATCCCTTAAGGCAATGGATACATGTCAGGGAAAGCTGTTGTTTTACAATGTGGAATGACTCCATGGCGCCAGCACACAACATGTAGAAAATGACAATGGACATTCTCAGCAGCCATCATTTCATTCTTTCTCTAATATGATGTCTCAAAACAAAAACAAACCAAAAGCGGTATTTAAACTGTACTATCAACAGATGACCCTCACTGTTTCACGGATGTGTCAAATCCAGCAACTTTAAGGAGGCGGTTGGGATCTCTATTGTGGCAACAGAGCTGGTAACGTTAGACAAAAGACGAGCGCGAGAGAGACAATCACTCAAAGTGCTCCTGTTTCTTTCTCATTTTGCATTGTAACATACACCGATCCTCTCGATATAGAAGCAATATGCATGTAGACGCGTTACTGAACACAGTTTTTGCCAGGAAAGCACAGCAAGGCAACTTTAAGCGAGCCTTTATTACTCTAGTTGACATGTTAGTGTGTTCTTTTTCTTACCTTGCAGTAACTCCTGATAGATCGGGCTTTAGGACACGCAGAAAAACACGCTCTCTTTGCAGACTTGGGTTGGTAAGACGATGCTTGGAGAATGTAATTCCGTTTCGGTGAGTTTTTGTCCGTGGGCCCAGGCTGCTGCTCTCTCTCTCTCTCTCTAACCCCCAGTCTGTGTTCAACCTCTCGCTCTCTCAGCCAGCAGCGCGAGTCAATGCACGGGTGACGTCACCGCTGCCATGGCACAGCGCGCACGAGGAGGGAGGCGCGAGAGCTAGGGGTGCTGATGATGGAGGGGCTGCTCAAATATTATTGAAACACTTACAGTATATTAAATACTAATGAAGTATGGTAAAGTTTTCAAGCATGAGGAAGTTAATACATGAATGAGAGCAGTGTCCTCATATAATAGGCCTACATTGCAATAGCCTACATTTAAAATGAAAGTGAAAGATGTGTGTGCCTAGTACAATTATATTTTACAATAAATAAATAAATGATCCGTAATGAAGTTGAAGATTTAGACTGTCTAATGGTATGACTTACATTATTTTAACTACAAAAAAAATGCTTTCCACAAATATTTTATAGTTATTTTAAAAAATGGTATAATTTCCCTGTAACTTTTACAGTTTGGGATTTTAGATTTGATATTTCCATTTCCTGCACCTAAAAAAAAAAAAAAAACATTAACAAAAATATGGTAGCCTATTGCTGCATGAGGTATGTTTGTACATTAGATACGATTTCATATGAGAGCCTAGTACAACGGAGCCTATAGGCACACCTTAAGAAAAATGTGCTTTTCAATCCCATAGTGTATTGATGGAGCAACAGATTTTGTGTGAAAATAAATCATAAAAGGGGTTTGTTTGTTTAAAAATCGTAGGCTATAAATGTAGGCATGAGGTGGCAAGGTGTGCCTTTTACCCCAGTCACGGAGTAAAACCAGTATGCGGAAAAAGGCACACATTATTTATACAAATACTTCAGATAAAATAAGTTAACACTTGTTCAAAACGATCCCTTTAGCAGAGTTTGTACTATTTTCGATTTATTTAAATAAAATTATTATTTTTTCTTCAATAAATACTGTCATTAAAATGTTAATTTTAAAAAGTAAAGATTCTGAAACCATTAAATGAGATCCCATAATAATTTAATATAGCTTTACAGTAGTAACAAATAAATATGGCATTTTATTATATGATCATATTTTTAAATATGGTGGTTTTATTATAAATATGGTGATTAAGGTACAGCATGTATTAAGGTGGACACCCAACTTAATATATGATATTTACCATGTGAATCTAACCATGTCATGTCAGCAAATGGAAAAGTCAGCCAGATATTTATTATCATGTTAATTATTGTGCCTTTAGCCCCAACAGCAGGGGTGCATTTTACCCCAAATACCACACTTTTACATATTCTTCTGTTATTGAAAAACTGTTGCTTTAATTTCCTTGAACAAAACTGAAAATCATTCACAAGACCTTTGTCTCAAAATATAATCGATTCTCATTTGCTACTAAATCTACAACATTAAAATATATATATATATATATATATATATATATATATATATATATATGAGATTATCACGTTCATCATTAAAACCAGTTGTTAAAGGGATATAGTTTACCTCAAACCTAAACTTGTGTCATCATTTACTCACCCTCAAGTTCTCCCAAACCTGTATGAGTTTCTTTCTTCTGCTGAACACAAAAGAAGATATTTTGAAAAATGTTGGCAGTTGACAGTCCACTGACTTCCATAGTGGGGGAAAAATACTATGGAAGTCAATGGGGCCCATCAATTCTCTGGTTACCACCTTATACTAAATCTTCTTATGTGTTCAGCAGAAGAAAGAAACTCAGTTTGGAACTACTTCAGGGAGAGTAAATGATGGAGAAAAAAAAACACTATCCCTGTGCTGGGCTGAATGTTGTGCCATCTAGTGGTTTAAAAGAGAATAAAGTCAAATGCGCCTTTTACCCCGGTACGCCTTTAGCCCTGAGGGTTTTCGCAGTGATGCCAGAAGAACCATTCTGTGAAAGAACCTTTCAGTTTCAGTGGACATTTCTTAAAAGACCTTTTTTAATCATCAAAAAAAAAAAAAAGAAAACACCTTTCCACTATGAAGACCCTTTTTGTGCAAAGGAAAGATTCCAAGGGTGTTCAAATTCCTTCATGATACAACATACCATTCTTTTTAAGAGTGTACTCTACCAAAACAGAGAGCAAATGATACATGGATGCTTCACGGGCTTGTAAAGTCCTTCATGACACAAAATGGGGTCATGTGGTGACACTGACAGTCTATATCCTTCTACTATTTCCCTTCAAGCTTTTAGTAAAAGCTGTAAATGTTTTCAGCAATGTATCATTGCACTGAACATTTTTATTCATAGAACTACCGTGTCTGCTGCCAAGACTTGACGGGAAATGCAGACACTGTAGTAAAATGTCACCCCATCGTTGTCACATGAAAGAATGAGTAAGTCTGATTCACCACTGATATTTTTATAGTTTCAGGAGACGGGGGAAAAAGCACACATATTTATTGGATTTTGATGAGAGTTTCTCTCAGGCTGGAGAACGATGGTTTATTGGCTCAATAATTGACTGCAATGCAATGACCGAAAGTGCTTTCATCTGAGTTGTTTTCTGTGGCAGTTTAATCATGCTTCTTCCCTTTAGTTTGATTAAATCATGCATAAAACAAGTGTTTATTGTGAAAATGGAAGAAATTGTCTGAGATGGACAAAGTTCATCACATTTTGAACTGGAGCTGTAATATTAAGGATGGTTAACAAGATAAACTGGTGCCAAGAAAGGCCAGTTTAGGGAACTCTGAATGTAATATCCTGGAACTAATACACAAAAGTCACAAAATTTCACCTATAAGGCTGGTTCTGTTGGGTTGTGACCCAAAATATGAGTCACTGATATGCAAAATTACGCAGTCAAATTAAGCAGATGCCAACATGGAGAAATCACTGGACATACAAAACACAATATGGATTATCTAAACCAATGTATTTATATACAGCATCTGTGTCTCTCCCGCATGAACTGAGCCAGTCTGCTGTGTTTTAAATTCTCACAACTGGGCATCACGCCTAGGCCTGTGTTTGAAGAACATCATTGTGATCCTCTGCATGTTACCGACTGAAAACGTGGAAAACGGCACATTCCAATCATGGATTTGTGCCTGGCACGTTCTGATTTCACATGGAAAAGCTGCATTCTAAATTTAAGATTTAAGTTGGTTTTAACATAAACTAATAAATGTAATGTGATGCATATGTGTCACATAAATTTGTTACATAAATGAAACGGGTAAGATTTCTCTATTCAAAAAAATGGTGGCATCGATTTTTCATTTAAATACATTAAATATATTTTATTTTTTTACACAATGCATTTATTCAAATTGCTTGGAATCAGGCTAAATATGGTCAGTTAACAAATAGGAACATGGTTCAATTATGGCTGTGGAACAAACAATGTTCAGTTACTTAAAATGTATGAGATCCCAACAATTTGGAATTATTGATGATAATATATAAACCTGGTAATTGTGTATTTAAATCATATTCGGTTTATTAGTAAATCTTACCTGTTTTTACATATTTCATGTATGTATGACTGACAAATATGCATCACATAATCATCATTAGTTTGTTGGTCCCAGTTTATATTAGGTGTTTTTAACTTCTACCAACATTTAAATTAACCATTTGATACAGTGCACTTATTGTGTACATAAATGTTTTTGCATTGCACTTACATTTACAAAAAAATCTGCATATAATTACAGCTGTAAATAATTTCTGTAATTACATCAATAATTACATTGGTAAGCCTTCCCTAACACCTTAAACCTACCCATACCACCAAACCTATTCTTAACCTTACCCGTATCCCACCTCAATAACAGCAAATGTGTTTTGGTTGCACTTTATTTTACAGAACGTGCAAATACGTTTACTTACAATGTACTTACCTAATAAAGTACTGGGTAATATGCGGTAACTACATGGTTTATAGGTTATAGGTTTAGGGGTAGGTTCAGGGTTAGTACCTACCTTTTACCTTTTATGTTGGTCCTCCATGTGCTGCCAAAACACCGACCCACTGAGGCATGGACTCTACAAGACCCCATATCTGGCACCAAGACATTATCAGCAGATCCTTCAAGTCCTGTAGGTTGCGGGGTGAAGCCACCGTGGCTCGAACTTCTTGGTCCAGCACATCCCAAAGATGCTCAGTTTGATAAAGATCTGGGGAATTTGGAGGCCAGGGCAACACCTTGAACTCTTCATCATGTTCCTCAAATCATTCCTGGACGATGGTTGCAGTCTGGCAGTGTGCTTTATCCTGCTGGAAGAGGCCACTTCCACCAGGGAACAAACCTGTCATGAAGGAGTGTTCCTGGTCTGCAACAATGTTTAGGAAGGAGGCACGTGTCAAACTGACGTCCACATGAATAGCCAGACCCGAGGTTCCCCAGCAGAACATTGCGGAGCATCACACTCCCTCCAGCGGCTTGTCATCGTCCCACAGTGGATCCTGGTGCCATCACTTCCCCTGGTAAACGGCGTACATGTACATGGCTGTCCACATGATGTGAAAGAAAACAGGACTCATTGGACCAGGCACTCTGGTTGATTATTAATATTTAATATTTTGCATAAAGGATAAGCATCAATTTAAACAATTATTGTTGCATACATACTTATTATTTAAAAAAAAAGAAATAGCAGTGTGCAGTATTCAGTAAGTAGTAAGCTAATATTCCATTCTGAACACAGGCTTTGAATATTACCCTGCTTCATCAGCAGGGCACAGCTGCATCTACAGCCTTGCGTGGCGTATTTATCAAACTAGCCTGCAAAAACATGTTACTGTATATGCTGTTTCAGCAAACACTGGTGAGCCTAAGAACACTGATGGCAAGCTGGATATAATAACTACTCGATTTTACTGAGACTTATATATATATATATATATCTCTGCAGTGTATTCTGCAGTGTTTTCGAGTCTGTTTTATGGCCATTTTAATGATAGTGTGACAGCCTAAGTTTACCAACAAAGAATGACAATGACTCGACCTCAAATAGAAAATCAATTTCAATAATAGAAGTGGTTTGGATGTTGTCATTCCTCTA